TTTAGTTTTAATACGAAATAATGTTGGAGGATTTGTTAAGTAGTGACCGCGTCATGCAAAAAAATTTAGTACATTCGCTTACTCATATTTTATAACATAAATACTCTCCAGTGTACGTCCCCCTTTACCCTACCCTCCTGCAGAATTCTTGCAGAGTTTTTAATAGCCGCGGCCGCAACCCTTTTATTTTGATTAGTTATTGTTGAGGGACCGTCGGACAGGCTCATATTGACAGACAAGAGCCCTGTTGTGTTGCTGCCAAAATTATTAGAGCTCTGACAAAGAAACTACACAGCATGCACTCATAATTAACAAAAACATGTTAGGGAATGAATTTCAACCAAAAGTTCATAATTCTGTACATACCAATATGCGTATAGTACGCAAAGTTGACGCCTGCCACTTTAAATTTTATTTTTGCGTGTAGGCATCAACAGTCAGCAGCGGTCTTCCGTACCCGTTTTGTCAGCCAATGGCGTTTAAGTTTAGTAAAGTCAAGCCTTAGGACGCCTTTAAATTGGACGCTTATAGAAGCGCGGCAGTTAAGTTTAATATCGGGAAGCGCAGTCGCAACGCCACTGTTGTGACACGCGCCCGCCACTTTTGCAGTAAGACGTAACGCACTGCTGCCGCGCCACTGTAGCTCTTTTATAAGCATCTAATTTGACGGCACCCTTGAAGACGTAATGGTCAGTTGCAGCTAGATGTTAGGTTGAGTTGAATCTCCACGTAGAAATTGTAAAGTTTATAGAAAAGTAACAATTTATAATTAAGCCTAAACGTGACCCATCACGACAGCGTAATATCGGCAATTATAAATATTAAAATGTGTTCAACGCGCGGAAAGGAGCAAGTTCAATATAAAAAGTATATTGTGCATAACCCTTACAGTTATCACAAAACTAAATAAGGGGTGGGGCTAGCTTCAATCTCTTGCAAACAAAAGTGTTTTGGGACTGCTAAACATTCAAATTTACTAATAGTACCGGCCGTAACATTTTTTTTCAGTTTCCATCATCTCAACTACTGTCAGAGGCCATATTTTACTGGTTGTAGCTTAATGGGAATTAAAAAATACCCTGACTCTTGATTCTTAGGATTTTTAACAATGTTTTCGAGGGCTTTCTGTAATACTTTGATGGAGTTTTTAAATAATGGAAGAGATAATTAGTGTAACAGCTTTTTCAAGCAGTTATTTGGTATTTTGATTTTATATTGTGAGATTTTTGAGAATGGCATTTGTTTAGACCACAGTAATTTACAGTTGTGTATAGGTATCCTGTCTATCTATCTACCTATCTTCTTTTACCACAGCACTAAGTGACACATACCGAATCATTACGGGTTGTCTGAAACCAAACCCTGTTGGTATGCTGTATTCGCTAGCTGGTGTTGCCCCTGCGGACGTCCGCAGGGACTCCGCTACGTCGTCCGCTAGCTCCCTGGAGCCCTTAAAAAAAAACACTAACCCGCGCCACCCCTTACTATCACGTGCCGGTAATCCAGGGGCTAAAGAGTCGGAATAGATTCATTAAAGAAGTATTCCGCACGGCATCACTCATACCTTGGCACACTTGAAAGTTTCTAAATAGACTGCGGACCTAAGTCGGCCGAAAAAAGCAAGCACAGGTGGGGTTATAGCTCGGAGAGCCCAAGTATTTGTGGTGTCTCTCCCCAGACTATGGCACATGTTTTTCTTGTCTTGCGTACCCCTACACCTGCACACGAGAGGACCTGTACAACGCCACTGATATTGCTGTATCAGTCGCCGAGTACTGAATCTCACAAATATAAACGTCAGAGTCGACACGCGAGGAAGATCTTCTTTTACCCGACGTTCATGAAAAGAAAAGTGATGATTTGACATAAGAACAATATTACTTTAATGTTAAAGTCGCGTCATAAGTACGAACTGAGTGAAAGAAAAGCTGCCAATAACATCATAGTTTTAACATTATAATAAGCTTACTTTAAGCGCGTACTAAGGCACGAAATGTCAATGTAAGGTTAAAGTAATATTGTTTTAAGAGGTTGTGGTAGGCCCCCTGCACGTCCGAATGTTTATAACTCTTGGAAACCCATGCCCAGTGGTAGGATATATAATAAATAATAGGCTTGACGATGATGATTTCTCAAAAGTTCCTTTCAGAAGTTACGCAAATTTGACTTCGAAGTTTACATTCTTACTGCAGAATACTTTTTCCAAAGTGCTTTCAAACAAGAATAACACAGTACACTGTACACATTTGGTACACACAGGTTTTAATTAGCACGATTCGTACGACGCCTTTCATATAACCTGTGTCGTAGTAAGAGGACTGTTTATTTCAAGTCACTTTTTTTTCAAGGCACTATACTTTCAGATGCAGTTTATTCGATACCCCCAATGAGCACTACGACTTAATTTGTTCTGTTTTTACTTTGATTTATACTTTCACGATTTTCACTCATTACTTAATTTTTAATTCGCGACTGAATCACGTATAAAACATAGTTTAATTACCTCGACGTTTCGGACGTATTGCAATGTCCATCATCAAAATGTTTTAGTTTTATACATGATTAAGTCCTGGACTAAAAATTAAATTCCGTTTTTATTTTGTTTTTTTTTTAGTAATTTGCTTTTTTGCTTCTTTAATTTTTTTTTCACAAAATTCGGGAATCATAATATTAACAAATAAATATGGATGTTTACAAAAATAACAGAAATGACCGAAAAGTAAAGTTGGCGTAGTGTCCATTGGAGGTATCTGTATTAATAGAGCTCCTTGTGAAAGAGTTCGTCCAGAGAAGTACTGCCACCTTACCTATTTCTGCCGCCAAGCAGTAATGTCAGCATGACTGTATTCTGGTTTTGAAGGGTAAGGATGCTGCTGGTGAAATTACAGGCACATGGGACTTGTCAACTTTTGTCTCAAGGTGACGGGCGCAGTGGCAGTGCCCCTCAGATCATTGCGATTTAAAGCTCTGAGTGGCACTGCAACTGTTATGGGCAGGCGTGTAGCTTACCATCAGGCGCCCAACTTGTTCGTCCCGTCACTTGATATTGTAAAAAAAGAAAATATAAACTAGAGGAACGCTAAAAAATGTTAAATTAAGATAACAATGTTCATATGAACCACTAGCCATATACACCAGAACGTTTAATTTGAAATATATTGTCCATGAGTACACATACATATACTTCACGCATTTTTCCCATTGGGGTAGGTAGAGGCAACAGTCTTCCACTTGCTACGGTCCATGAGTATATTTAGGCTAAAATTGAGAATTGTAAAATAGGCATTCAAATTAGGTCAATAACCCCAAACGCAAGACGAAAAGATCGGAACGCGTACAGTAGCATATTCCACTTCTAACGACCAAGTCGCACTCTAGCGGTTAATATATTCCATCAGGCGAGTAAACTGCAATCTGCGCGCCCATTCACCGCGTAATAGGGCCCCATACAACCGCGCTACGTCATTAATCTCATACTATGACCATTAAATAGTAGACTTGGGAAAGTGGTTTTGAAATGAAATAGGATCCTTCACAGAAAGATAATCCCGGGATGGAGGTTTTGTTTTAATTGGTGCCTCATATCGACTGTGAACTGGCAACCGGTACTATCTCAATTTTGACAACTTTACATAAATAATCATTTATATATCATCTGGTTTATTAAATAAAAATACGTGCACATACATACACGTCTAATAAAAATATACATATTTTTACTTAATAAACCAAATGCTATATAAATGACGCATACAATTTTTTTCTTTATCCTGTAAAGTTGTCAAAATTGACTATCTATATATATATATATATATATATATATATATATATATATATATATATATATATATATATAGTCAGAATTCACAGTCGATGTGTCGTGTTGTCCTTTATTATTTAATTGTGTTTTATTCTCAAGTGTGTGTTCATCGATTTTTATGTGTTTAAAACCTTTATGGAGTATTGCAGGATATCAGCGATGGCCATGAATTTTGTAGTTTTTTTATGACATCAAGTGACGAGACGAACAAGCCGAAGCGACACGCCTACTCATAACAGTTGCGGGATCTCTCAGAACTCTAAATCGTAGAGATTTGATGGGCGGCAGAAATATATAAGGTGACAGTACTTTCCTGGAGGAACTTTTTCACAAGGAGCTGTACTGCTACTTAAATATAGTATTTTATTTAATGCACCAGTATGGGGACATCCGAAACCGTAGAAGATAAGAGGAAACTGTCTTAGGAACCTTGAAGCCTTTTTTCGTGAAAATAATTTTGGCATAGCCATTTTTTTGGTCAAGCTTGGGTAAAACTTAATAAAATGTTATTAATTTTGTATGCAAAATAATTTTATTAAATTTTACCAACTTCTGCTGTCCCGATTTTTTGGTCACATAAAATGAAATCATCTTTGTAAGAAGCTGAGTCTACCAGTATTAAAAAAAATTATCAATTTTATTCATTTTGTATGAAAAACATTTTACGGAATTTGGCCAACTTCTGCCGTCCCGATTTTATTCGTCTCATATAATGAATAATCAGCACTAAAAAAATTTTCATAAATTTTATTCACTTTTGTCAACAACTTTTATGACCAAAAAATTTACTATGCAAAAATTGTTTTTACAACAAAAAGACTTAATGGTTTCTAAGACAGTTTCCTTGTATCTTATATCGTTTCGGATTTCCCCATACTGTCCCACTTAAAAAAACACTATGTATAGACAAATAACACAAACAATCACCAACAAACCATTTAGTAGGAGAAAAGTAGGCAGTGAAAATGTGTCAGAAATAACACAGGCTTATTATGAAAACGATAGCAAACGATAGTCTGTAGATAGAGACGCGAAGGACGATGGTACACGTTTGCCTTTAAGATATCTGTGCATTTTAATTTTAAGGACAACGAGGTTTTAACGTTCGGCAGATACAAACTGTAAAAGTCTGGAAAAAAGTTGCACGTTTGTAAGAATGTAAGATTAATTAAAAACATACCTGGGGCGCTTTAACGATTTCTTTTGGTTTCAGTCGTTGCAGGTGATTAGGCAACCTAGCTTCCTTCGATGCCGTAAATTCGGCGCTCAGTCCGGCCTTGGTCTTCGTGTTTTCTTTAGCGATGCTTTTACTCGTCACTCTGCCAGCCTGTAACAATGTAATCTTGTATTATAATGTCGTACTCATCGTACTGCGTATAACGTCATTGTTAAGGTAATGTGTCAATAAATCAATCAATCAATCAGCCTTTTGCAGTCCACTGCTGGTCATAAGCCTCCCCAAGTGTACGCCATAGTGCCCGATCACCCGTTTTCCGCATCCAACCACTCCCCGTGACCTACTTCAGATCGTCGGTTCATTTTGCAGGGGGACGTCCTATGTTACGTTGTGACGGTGTGACCTCCTTACATCGTCATCCCACCTTTTTGTCGCCTTTCTCCGGTTCCTGGCAACTCGTATTTAAATTCAAATTTTGAATAGTTCCATAGCTCTTTTGTCTCGCTTTCTGATTTTGTTTCGTTCCATTGTCACTCCCTGCTCGATCGCGGCAGCGAACACGTCTTCTCTTCTTATTTTTTTGAGCCGTTTACCAGTTATTAAAAATCTCTTGTACGATAAACAGTTTAAAACTCATATGTATTGTTAAAAATGGAATAAAAAAAATACACGCGATTTAAATCCGGAAAAATAGTTTCATTTCCTATGGAATAAATATTTATAAAAACTGGATTTATTACCGCTAGCTCTTTTTGCCCTTTTGAACTTTGAACTTTAAACGTACTAAGATGTACGGAGGCGCTCTGGCTGCGGAAAGTATTACTACTCTGCCTAACTACTCTCCCTACAATATTCCATCCAACAGAACATTACAATCCACCAGCGCCTGCAGCGTCCTCACAACGTTTGCCGAGATGTGGTCTCCACTCGAGAACCCGCCTACTCCATCCTTCATCGGTTCTGCGACAGATGTGGCCAGCCCACTGCCACTTCAACTTGCTACATTTCTGGACGATGTCCACAACTTTAGTCTTATAACTTCGTACCGGACTTTGTTCATTAACGAGATGTAACGATGTAATGTGTGCTACGTCATTAATATAGCTTAACGTGTTACTTTAGCCATATGGCAACAGGTTTACGTCATTTATACGTGCTGCATGGAATATTATTTATATAGGAATGCGTGTTACGTCATTTATATCGTACAGCGTATTAGCGTAGTAGCAGAAGAGCTGCTAGTGAAACAGTTCATCCAGGAAAGTACTGCCACCTTACCTATTTCTGCCGCCAAGCAGTAATGTGAGCATTACTGAGTTTCGGTTTTGAAGAGTATGGATGCTGGTGAAATTGCAGACACATGGGACTACTAACACACACAACTAATGTCTCAGGGTGACGGGTGCAGTGGCAGTGCCCCTCCTATCTTTGCGATTTAATACTTTGCGTGGCACTGCAACTGCTATGGACAGGCTTGTCGCTTAACACCAGGCGCACGACTTGTTCGTCCTGTCATTTGCTAACATAAAACGATTTTTTTTATAACCTATTCTGTCGCAGTGCTGGGCAAAGGTCTCCCCCAAAATCCTCTACTGCTCCCTGTCTCTGGCAATTTCCTACCACTCCTCAAACTAATCAAGATCGTCGCACCAAATCAATAACGCCAAAGCATGTATGTAAACACTTTATTGTACCACAAAACCAATTACAAATTTTAACAAATAACTTAGTTTTGCATGTTACGTTATACACGCTGCGTATTACGTCATTTTGTTTTTAATCGCAAAGATCCGAGAAGAAAGAAAGAAAGAACTGATACTGTGCCTGTCACCTTGAGATATAAGTTGACAAGTCACATGTGCCTGTGATTTCACCCTTACCCTTCAAAACCGAAACACAGTAATGTTCACATTCAAATGTTTTGGGCGTTACGTCATTTACATCTTATTATGTGTTTTGTTATCGATGTTGTTCCTACGAGTACAACAAATCATCACTCTCCTGCCCTTATTCTATAATTTTGGTTTGATCGAGATGACTTTTAATTATAAGCGAATACATATACATATTTTAATGTTTAGTAAATATGGTAAGTAGATATGTATTTCACATCGATTGCGACATTACAATTCACATCTGTTGAGGCTGCCTTATACTTGCCTTGGTAGCTTAATAGTTTGATCTACCACCTCTCAAGCAAAGGCTGTGGACTCGAGTTCAGACTCGCACCTCTCAGATATGTGAGTTTAGCGAAACAGCTTCTGCGTAGATAGATGACAAAAATCCGAGGTAGTAGTCTCGATCTAAGATCTTTTAAATTAAACATTGTAATGATAAATGTGTTCAAATGTATATTTACAAAGAGCAACTCCTAGAGTTTCTTGCTCATTCTTCTCAGGGGAATCTACTTTACGAGCGAGTAGTAGAGTTCAAGCAGTATGACGATTTCAAGTGTAATTTGCTTACCTAAGAAGTAAAGATAATTTGACTTTTGATTTTAATTAGAAATTCAGCTCTTTTAAAACGTGTGAAGTACCAAACTTGCATAAAGCCAGTGTGGCGGCCTAAACTCTCGCTTGAAAGGAGACCCGCGCCCAATCTGTGGGACGTATTAAAGGGTTAATTATGATGATGAGGCTGCCTTAGAAATACAGGAGATGCCCAATACTATTATTAAAAACAACTGTAACTGACCATTTCTTCGGCTCGGCGAATCATTTCAAGTTGTTGTTCCTGCGCCATTGATTGTCGTACTGCAGGCGCTGGGCGACTGCGTTCTAGGTTACCTGTGGGAAATTGAAATAGAAAAGTAGAAGGTCTTCACATATCGATTGGTCCTAAGTATAAGGGCCAAAACTAACAATTTGATCATTATCACTTTTTTGTGGGAAATATTTCATTTCATTATAATCTGTAAGGTAGCGCCAAAACAAAATCAAACATATTGAAGGAAACCTCGAAATACAAGGAAATTTTGAAAATATACCAGATTGAAAGTTTAGAAGCCTCTCCTGTAAAATTGTGATTTTGCGGTTTGGCCCTTATACATAGGACTCATCGATATGCGTGACGTCATGTTCCATTCATACATACACACATACCATTACGCATCATTATGTGATAATAAATTATAGTTAATTTGGTATAATGTAAATATGATACTAGTATATCTTTTTGAAGATGGACTAAAATGACAGTTCAATCATTACGCAAAAGTGTTACTGGCTTGCAAGCAGCTAGTGATTGCAGTCGATAATATTCTATCGACTATCGACTAAACGTTAGTCACGCTTATACAATAAATAGCCGAACTCATTTCATTTGAGTCATTATGATAATTCGTCCAGATGCTGTGTACAAGTTCATTTTAATTGTCAATTTTTGTAAGTTCAAGCATATATACACTGTTTTTATAACTAAAAATGCAATGGGAGACATATGTTAAAGTTTTTCATTTTAAATCAATATAGAAAATCAAACCCGCCTGTTCTTACTAAAATGTATATGAATAAAAATTAGCAGGCCAACATTTTTGGCAAACAAAATTTTTGGTAAAATTTTACCTTCTTTCAGAACCTATCGATAAAACTATCAAACAACAACCAGAATTTTTTTCATATAATATCAAGTGACAAGACGAACAAGTCGTGCGCCTGATGGTAAGCTACATGCCTGTCCATAATAATTGCAGTGTCCTCAAAGCTTTAAATCGCAAAGCTGGGCAAGATGGGTAAGGGGCACTGCCACTGCGCCCGTCACCCTGAGACATAAGTTGACATGTCCCATGTGCCTGTAATTTCACCGGCATCCGTGGGCACAACTCACACTGGTGCAGAGTCGAAGCGTCGCGTCGCGTTGTTCAACTACAACACCTGGCGACGCGTAGTTATAGCGCGGTGGCATTAGTGCGCTAGGATCACAGTGTGGTCGGCGTCTGACGCCTTACTGCGCTCCAGTAACGTCGACGCACGACTCCATATTTGCCGGACACAAATTTGTACCTTAATAATTGGAAAATAGAGATGAATATGCTATAGGCGAAAAACATGACGCGACGCTTCGACTCTGCGCCAGTGTGTTTTGAGCCTTACCCTTCAAAACCGGAACACAGTAATGCTGACATTACTGCTTGGCGGCAGAAATAGGTAAGGTGGCAGTACTTCCCTGGACGAACTCTTTCACAAGGGCCTCTACTGCTACTAAAACTACATGACTGTTTAAATTTTATGATCGCGAACGCAAACGTCATTTTACTCCGTCTTCAAAAAAGATACGACTATAAATCAAGGAGGTGTGTTGAAGATACGATGTAGTATCTAAATCTTTAGATGAAAACAATCTCAGTACAGAGTACTAAAAAAACCGACCTCAAAAGTACGTGGAATTACGTCAATTTGCTAAGTTTTATTGAAATATCCCCTAGTTCGCCACTCTACAGGACTTGACACTGGAGATAATAAAAATCGGTTCTCACTACTCCAAGTATATTGAGAGAAAAACGCCTTGAATTCGAGAATAGCAAAACCAACCATTAAAATAATTGCTCTTTAAGTAAAATTTAGGCGCTATTTATAAAACGAATGCTTACGCGTGATCAGCCACCCTTTGAGGTGGATGATTTTCTTCAAAATGAAATGGGACCACTATGGAAGTACCCCCTTTCCAACAAAAAAGAATCATGAAAATCGGTTCACAAATACCCGAAATTATCGCGTAACATACATACAAAAAAAAAGAACATACGGTCGAATTGAGAACCTCCTCCTTTTTTGAAGTCGGTAAAAAAGGTAAACTACATTGCTGCAGGTTCTTTTTTATGTTGAGCTGTCTGTGATTGGTTCTACCAATATTTGTATTGACTGATTTTGTTCGATCGATAAAAACACATTTAAAAATCTGAAAATGTAGTTTATAATTTCTAACAATTATTATGGTCATAAAATTACGGTTTATATTTCAGTAGTTTCTCGCGATTGTATAGAAAATTATTAAAAGATGACCAGTAACTTACCAAAGAAAGCAACCTTGTAAATATCAGGCTCTAATACAAAGGCATACAATCCCTCCGGTGTGCGTTGCTGTACGTATTGCAATCCATAATCGCACATTGCTCCCACGCATACTCGTAACGCTTTGCGCTCGCTTTCACTGCACAGCTGAAAAAATAATATTTATTATATAAAATCATTGTCAATCCAGCCCCCTAATAGTTTGACATGAAAGTCAGTCTCACGTTTAAGATGAAAGGGTTAAAGGGTTTGAAACTTTGTCATTCTCGATGACCAATAATGTAATTCAGAAATAGATACGTAGAGATTCGGTTCCGAAATAGGATTTGACATTCGACTTAACCTTAAGCTAATTAAAATTATTTGGTTTAAATCAAACCAAATAATTTATTTGGGACTATTTAATTCGTTAATAAAAAAATAAAAAATTACATGAAATACATTATTAAACAAATTAAGCTGACAATAAAATCTAATCATAAATAACACACAATGGTAACTAAAATAAATAAGTAACATAAATGAAAAAAAAAAACCAATCTCATTATCGCTGAAAATTAAATCTGAAAAAATGAGCGATTTGATAAAACTTAATAAATTTAGAAGAGTTTAAAGAAAAATGAATAGAATAGAATACGTTTATTTGCCAGAATACAGTAATGATGAAGGTCTTAAATAAAATTAGGTACATTGTATTCAACCTGCAAGCAGATGTGCAAATTTTTAATTTCATGTTTGGTTTCTACTGTTAATTGCACTTCAAATTAATGTAAATTTATGTTTGGGAATTCTAAGTATTCTTTATTACTATAGAAGCAATGTGTCAAAAGCCACTTTGTCAATTGTAATTTAAAAGTATGTCCTTGCAACAATTTAATTTAATTTGGCAGATTGTTGTAAATAATTATACACATGTTGAAGCAGTTTTTATTATAAATTACTTTATGGCAACGAGGTTGGTACAAAAGATTCATAATTTTTGCTCTAGTCTGCATTTGATTAATTTCACCACGTGTTTTGAATAATGTTGAACAATGTTTTTACTTTAAGTTCACATTCAACATATTTCTGGATTACAGGTCAGCAAACAACACTTGAAATAGTGAAATAGAGTTCATTCTCTGAAATTATTAAAAATATTACTCATTCGTAATCTCCATTTCTCTTGAGAAGAATAAGTAAGAAAAAGAAACTTTAGGTGCTGCTTTTTGTAAATAAACATTTCGTTGCAAAATTTATTTCAAATAACACAGAAAGAGCTATTTTTTCACATTTATTATTTTCTTATTTAATATTTTATTTAACATTATTATATTATTATGTAAAACAACCTGAAAGTGCTAACGTACGTAGCCGTAAAATGACTTTACAAAGTTTTTGTTTCTAACTTCAGACATGGCACATATTGAATATCAGCGTTGGAAATATGTCAGGAAGGTACAAAGTCAACGTTCGTAGTCTTGCAGGTTCGAAGTTAAAACTTCGAGCCTGCGAGTTGTTGTTATTATGTATGTATGTTTGTGATTTTTTTTATTAGATCCATGTTGCACAAAACTTTCAAGAGAAATAACAAATAATAGTCTTATTTGTAACAGAAATTCCGTTTAGAATTGAATTAAGCACCAGCCCTAATGATAGTAGCCCTAATTGTCTATAGATAATTTAAAATCAATTTGATTTGGTTTCGTCCGAGATTACCACAAACGAACGTTTTCTCTATAATATTACACTAAATAGAAATACTCTTTATTGCATACAAAACGAAAGAAAAAACACAAGACAGACAACAAAAGACAGCCAATCAAAGGACCCCCGGGCTACAGGATAAACTTAATATATAAAATTAATGTTACTTAAGAAAATTTAAATTTTAATTACCTGTATATTAGCCGAACGCAGTACAGGCGAGAGTAAATATGGCAGGAGCGGTAATACATCGAGATGAAGACACGATCTGGTAGTAGCAACCGCGGCCGTACTTCCCCGCCATACTGCCCATACGATGCTGTCCAATTCAGCTTTCTTGCGAGACATCTGAAAGCAGATAAATATGTTTCAAAGTTTCTATGTATCCCACATTACGGAATTTCTTTGTATCTTTTTTAAGTTAAATAAAGATCATTTTTGCTTTTGGCATGTTGGTGTTAGTGTGTAGAAGGCGGTGTTACCAAACCAGGCGGGATTGGTAACACAGCCCTATTTCTACTGCAAAGCAGCACTGTTGTGTTGCGGGTTGAAAGTTACGGGGAGGCAATAATGCAAATTAGTAGCAGTAGAGCTCCTTGTGAAAGAGTTCGTCCAGGGTTTTGAAGGGTAAGGGTGCTGGTGGGTGCTGGTGAAATTACAAGCACATGAGACTTGTCAACGTACGTCTCAGGGTGACAGGCGCAGAGGAAGTGCCCCTCAGACCTTTGCGATTTAAAGCTCTGCGTAGCATTGCAACTGTTATGGACAGGCGTATACCGTCAGGCGCACGACTTGTTCGTGCCGTCACTTGATATTATTTTAAAAAATGCAAGCATGGGAGACTTAAGTACTTATGACCTTATAATAATGTTGTAGAGATACTTTCAATAGTCTTTAGTCATAGGTGAAAGCCATATTTACATTATTTTTTTTATGATATCAAATGGCGAGACGAACAAGTCGTGAGCCTGGTGGTAAGGGACACGCCTGTCCATAACAGTTGTACATATAATAACACTTAGTTACGTGGCCTAGTCCAAGTATTGACGGTATTTAAACATTTATGTATTCACAACCAAATAACATTGAGCTCTTGCGCCCGTATGAGAATTTAATCCAATGTCCCTCTCATTTACCTTTAAGTCGCATCAATCGGTGATATGAACAGCCTTACTATGCTCTTAATTTGCGGAAGTCGCGAATCCGAGACGGACCTATACCCGGTTCTTATGGATGGCCAATTAACTTCCGCAAGTTAAGAGTTAATATATTATAACCAATTAATACTGACCTCTTGCGCCTGAGTGGGAAACTTAATCCTCTGTGGAGCTCTAGATGCCAATATCCTATGACACCTGGTCACACATAAAGGTAGCATTCCATATAGTGAATAGTTCTGCGTTGTCCTAATCCAGGAGTTAATGATATCGAAGAGTCGTAGCCAAGAGAGTGTTTCGCTGGCGATGAGAAGGCGCGCATCCACGCGGGAGTTGAGGTAGTTCTCGAATATGCCTTCTATCAATCTGAAATAAAATTTCATACGTGATTCGTTACAAACGTATTTTCTCTTGCAGTGTGTTGGTTTAAAAAATAGTTTTTAGCTGTAATGCTGCGAACAAACTATATATATATTATATATATATTAGTATCCAAACAACAAGTTGTTTTTGTCTGTTCTTACTGTCAAAATGTTTAACCAATTATAGATGAACATGCCATGATATGACTATCAAAGTTAAGACAATTATTATTAATTTACTGTAACAAATTTAATTATAAATAAGTATAATATACATTACATTATAATATTTTGAGATCTTGTGTAATTATATATAATTAAGCAGTAAATAAATATTCTTATTCTTATTTACATGGTATTAGATTACATTTGACGACATTCATGGTCGAAAGGCTTGCCCACCGGTTTCATTGTGTCGCCATCTCCGAGGTCCCAGGTTTTTTTCCCGATCGGGTCTAGGGTCTAGGTAGAAAACTCTAACTTTTCTATATTGTCTTGGGCCCGGATCCAACACAATATACAAAAATTAGGTAGTCGTGGTACCGTCGTTGTTTATGATTTCCATAACACAAGTGCTTTAGTTACTTACTTTGGGATTGGAGCACAATGTATGTGCTGTTGCCTAATATTTCTTTTTTATTTATTATTATATAAAGAAGATAGTGTACTGAATATGCTTCATATATAAGAAAAGAAAAGTTAACGTTCTATTACACTGGAATGCAAGCCATGTCATTAGTCAGTTTAAATTCCCTCAAACCCTTTGATTTACTAGTTACAATTTTCTACAGTAATGCAATGTAATGCAAGTGACGTACTTGGCCAATTTAAATTCCTTTTCTATGATCTATGAAAATTTCCTACAGTACTGCACAGTAATGCGTCATGCGTATGAAATTCTTATCGCGAAAATACAAAATAACATGTTATATTTCGTGACACTTATTTGAAAACTCCATCCACACATAGGATCAATTTTTAAATCACTATAATGCAAGATTTATTCAACTGTTCCATACTAAATATTCATATCTACTCGTCCAATGGATGGTTCGTTTTGGTTGGTTGAATTTCTAACCATTTTTTTATACGTGACAGGCAGATGACTCCAATCCACCTGATGTTAAATGGAAAGTGGAATCCGAACGTGAAGGAGCCTAGTGCAATATACAATCACTGCCCTAGCCAGCTCCACCCTACATGCCCACAAGATGCCTGCTAAAATATAGTGTTACAAAAAAAACACTCTGTAGTCTTAATCACTCGCCTTTCATACTCCCCCGCAGCCTGAACAATTTTGATGATACCGTCCGGGTCTTTGTCGTTAACGGTGAACACGGCTTGCAGAGCTTGCATCACACTCTTCTGACAGTCCTTAATGCCAACTGCCGCGTTCTCAACATCTTCCATGTTTAACTAAAAAAAAAGAACAAAACACGAATGAATGAACGAAGAAAATTTAAATTTGAAATCTATAATTCGACACTACCCCAGCTCGAATTTTTCCCGTACTAATACCAACTAATACGGTTAATTTTGCTTGTGTCAAGCAACATGGACACTGCCTTTATTTCAGAATATATTTTTTAACAAACGCAATTAAAGCCATTTGAAAAATGTATATCGTATACTACACGTGTTTTATTTAGTTCCGTTGAAATTTCCGTTACGTTAAAAACCCATTAGTATATGTAAAGTACCTGTAGAATACACCAGTCTTCTTGTAAAATTTCGAGGTAAGTTTGTGATTTATTTCTATCGTGAACAATTTTAGGAAACGTGTTTTCACATTGCATATCTTTTTACTTTTTTTTTATTTACTATATTTTTTTTTTCAAAGTGATTGATTCATAAATTTCACTGTTAATACAAAAATTGAAAACAAAAAGTACTTCGATCTGATAGGACTGGAACCTGCGTCTGTATGCCAAACTAGGGACAACGTTCTACCAACTGAACTACTGATCGAGTCAGTCAGCCAGTTACAGATCTTTTGTGTTAGGTCTTTTTTACTTTTATCGCCGCAAGCTGCATCTTGTGAGATCAAAGGATTTTGTCTTCGTATTAAATAATTATAACAAAGTAGCGGAGCAATTTCACAAAAAATAAACGAATATCATGGTACTCTTAGAATAATAACGCATAGAATGATAGTTTCATATCAAACGAACTGTCACAAGTGAGGCAAAAATCAAATTCATGTAGACTAGTTTTAGTAGTAGGTTAATTTTCGGTTTTAGTGAATATTTATATAAAAATATAAGTTGAAACGCGTTACTTCCTTGTGGAATGTGATGTTAGTATCTATTTATGTTTGTCTGACGTATTTTTACACTAATTTACCGCACATTTCGTCATTTTTAGCTAAAATTCTTGAGCTGTTCGCAGTGCAAGTTGACCTTGAGCACTGAAGGCCCGCCCGCTCGTGTAGGCCCATTGGGCCCGCTTCAATTTGCCTCACTTAGCGTGTGCGGACTAGGTTTCTATGCGTTATTATTCTAAGATGGTACTCTATAAAATCAATGTGAATGTGAATATTACTTTCTGCTGCAGATCAAAATGGTACCCACATACAGGAAATATATCAAAATAAGCGAAAGCTATTTCGCTATACCCGTTTCGATAATGATGAATGAGCATTTCTATAATCACGGTCATAATTAATTAGGGATTATCTTGCTCTACAGCAATAGTGTAGTGCGGAAATGGTTGCTTCTTAATTGAAAGGTCAACGGTTCCAAGCCTTGTGACGAGATGTACCAATGACTTAATTTGTAAGTACGTGCATTTTCAAATGTTCATAACAACTTGTGGACGACTTTATAAAGGATTGGAAATTAAACTACAACTGCTAGTTGTTTGTAGGTATATTTCAGCGAAGAAAGAGCGATGCATTATGTGCATTAAGATTTATAAAAAAAGGAACTGAAGAACACATCATGATAAAACTCTTTTTTTATAGTATCAAGTGACGGGACGGACAAGTCGTGCGGCTGGTTGTAAGCGACACGCCTGTACATAACAGTTGCAGAGCCACTCAGTTTTAAATCGCAAAGATTTTAGGAGCACTACAGTACTGCGCTCGTCACCCAGAGATATAAGTTGAAAAGTCCCATGTGCCTGTAATTTCACCAGCACCTTTACCCTTCAAAATCGGAACTCAGGTAAGGTGGCAATACCTCTCTGGACGAACTCTTTCACCAGGAGCTCTACTGCTACTAAAACTCGCACGTCGAAAAAGGATGGCCCAAAAGTGTCACTAGCGTCTTGATTTTCTGATTGAGTAGTCTCGAAATCAGATGGGTTTTTGAGCGAGAAGAAGAACCTGATTCCTACTATATTATTAAATCAACTATTGCTCCGATTAGAAATGTCAAGTTTCCGATCGGCCAGTTGTGAATCGCAATTATGCGCCTCGACTCGGAAAAGACGCAGTTTCCGATCGGGAAAGGCAATCAAAATCAACCTGCAGAGAAGAGTTAATGAGGAAAGCGCTACCTGGTCCTTGGCCCGGGCCTTGATGAAGCTGAGCACCTGGATGGCGGCGCGGACGTCGCCGTGCGCGCGCGCCGCCAGCGCGGCCAGCACGGGCGCGCTGGCGCGCAGCCCCTCGCGCTCCGCCACGCGCGCCAGCCGCGCCGCCAGCCGCGGCAGCGACACGCCGCCCACCTGCACCACCAGCGCCACCGGCCTGAGGGCGTCCACTCGTCAATCATACCGATGCCTTACTTTCTATTTATTTTATTTTTACGATTATATAATAAAATCAATAACAGCATAACAATATATCACCTACCAAGAACCAGCTCTAAGCGAGCAGTGGTGGGCTTAAGTCCTTTGATTATGACAAGACTGAAAACCTTTTGCATACCACGTTATAATCAAAGTATTGCTACAACACACGCAAGCACACTAGCCCAACTTCTCTTTTATCGAACTACACATAAAAATTTATTTACTTTTTTTTTTAATTTAGTAATTTTATTTATTTTTGCAAATTTTAAGTAATTCATTAACCACAATGCATTTAAATCCATTTTTCTGTTGATTTACTGTACGTACCTAATCTAATCTATGTAAAATTGATTTTAACATAAATGTAAGAACACCTGGTGACATGTAATACAGGCATTTTCATGCCTATCTCAGGCACCACTCTCTCGCAAATAAAGTTTAATGTAGAAACTCATTATGGTCCATCTGTTTAGGTACTTAAATAAATGTAAACAATCTTGAGATGTGTATTTAATGAAATATACATTTATAAAATTATTTTCCCATACCTTCAAATACAAAATACAAATACTTAGCTGCATATGAAATTGCATGACTATTTTTATACCTATTGATTTGTAAAGCATGTGTTTCAATAAAAAGATGTATCAAGATTGTTTACATTTAATTAAGTACCTAAACAAATGGACTATAGTCAGTAAGCATTTATACAATTTACCTTGTATGTTGAGAGAAAAAATAAATAAAATTATTTTAAATTTCTTATCAAGGGTGTTAATTTGGATTACTGTAACAATAGGTAAAAGCATGGACCAATAACCCAAGAGGACTGCTAATCTCCATATTAAAAATCGTAGCTCTGAAAAAGGTCAAAATTCCGTCTTATTTCTAGATGGCGCTGATCGATAGCCTGGAATTAGTTTATATTTACGTAAATAGCCATGGATATCGATTAACTCCTCTTTTATAGGAAATATAGTAGATATTCTATTTTTCTTGTAATGTTTTTCAAATATTTAGTAATAAACTAAAATTATTCTCTGAACTTCGATATTTATGCGTATCAATAGATGGCATTGTTCGTTGTTAACTAATTAATAACGTAACGCTTGCGAATATAGTTAGATGGCGCAAATCCTAAACAAAATAAAAGAATACTTGGAAGTATCTATAAAAATCTGAGCAATATAGTATAACCTAAAGGAAGTCTAAATTGTCATCCGTTTGCGGTGGCGCACAGTGGGCCCAAATTGATAATTCTTGGACATAGGAATAACTTGTGGAGTATCGAGCTAATTTTTTTATGTGGTAGACAATAACACTCTTAACAACTTTTATTCTTGTATGATTTCTTGAAAAGTTGATAGTTTCAGAGAAAAAAAATATAATTTTTTTTTGTGGAGAAATATACATTTTGTTCTTTATCTCAAAATATACGAAAATGTAGTGTGCGTGGGTTACTTACAGTATAGTTCCAATCATTTTCTATGTAGAAAAAAATAATCCGTCTGCATGTACTTGCGGCTTTGTAAGTAGAGGTGCGGCAAAATTGCTAACTCTTTTATGTACTTTTTTAACAAAATACATGAGCTTCGACTAAAGAAAATTTAATTTTAGTGCTAAATTACACAGAGCGTTATAACAATAACACGAAAGTTAAGTAGAAACTAGTATATTGTGTTTTATTTTTTAATAAATAACAAATCTAACATTTTGACATCTTTTTACTCGTAAAGCCGCAAGTACCTGCTGATGGATTGTTTTTTCTTGATAGAGAATGATTGGACTTATACTGTAAATAAAGCACACATTACATTTTTCTACAATTCGAGATAAAAAAATAAAATGTTTATTTCTCCAAACAAAAAAAAAAAACTAAAATTTTTTTCTGAAACAATCAGCTTTCCAAGAAATTACATAACAATAAAAGTTATCAGGAATGTTATTATGTATCATGTGAAAAAAATCAGCTCTGTATTCCTAAAATTGTATCATGATTAAATAATTATTTAGCCTAAAATTTATACTTTTTATTTCCGTTATTTTTAATTACCTTCAGATTAATTTATACTGGGTTGTTGGACTTTATGCACTGTTTGTAATGGATGACATATTACACACAGATTACACGAAGCTCATGTATTTTGTTAAAAAAGTACATAAAAGAGTTAGCAATTTTGCCGCACCTTT